TGGCAGAGTATATAGGATGATGACATATTTCAATTTGAATTCTCAGTTTACCTGCATGCCAGCATGTGAAACTCAGGACACCTGTGGTTCAGGGATAAGAGTCAACTATATGGTAACGTGCTCATGTTTTGATTTACACCACAGCCCTCTGCCCTATGTAATCACTTTCGGTAACAGGAGAGGACAGCAACATTAAAGAGCCATGAAAAATAACCTTTGCAAATAGTGTCTTTTGACAAATGTTCAATGTTTGAAGAATGGATGGGAAGACCTCAGTCTGCTTCTTTAATCTTGCTTTTTTTTTTTTTTTTTTTTTTTTTTTTTTTAATTATGTATCCATCTATCTATGTCTATCTTTCTATATACAAATATAAATTTGTATATAGTGCCTTTCTTGCAATTTCCTTTTTTTTGAATTTTCCATTCAATATTATTATATTTCCATTCCAATAATCCATTCACAAAAAATGTCTTCGTTGTTCAGATTTCACTGTGGAGTTTATGCCCATAGACATGTAAGTCTTTCATTTGAGAATCAGTATGCTGTCATGTGCAGTATGAGGATCACTAGAAGAGTTCAGCGTGGCTGGTATTGGACAAAAAGATATACTAGTCTGGTTTCATAAACAATGTGGATAAAATCTTAGATTTAAGAGGATGACCAAATAGCATAATGAATGCACATATCCAAACATAGACAAAAATATCATATAAAGTACATTGTTGTTAAGATAATTGTGTAAAGAAAAAGACAGTGTGAACAGCAAGTGAAAAAAAGTGCTACTCTGAGAAACTAGTGCTTTCTACATATGTGTGTGTGTGTAAAAGAGAGAAAGAAGAGGAGGAAAAAATAAATAAAGAAAGAGAAAGAGATGGAAGGAAACTGAAGTCACTCAGGGCTTTTAGAATCCTGCAAGAAAAAATGATCAGATTGCCTGTTATTGCTCTTGGTCTGTGTAACTGGGCATTAAAAATGAAAGCCCTTACAAGAAACACTTTCTGTGGGAAAACGTAGTTTCTGCTGTCATTTGTGATCATTAATGTTACAAGGTGTGTGTGAAGGCAATTGGTACTGCACAAATGACATTTATATGGTGAAAATCTCTCACAGAGTTAACTTCAACTTTGATTTAAACTTTGGAAATTATCTTGTCACTAGTAGATCTACACATATAATAAAAAAAATTATATATTCAAGATCATCACTAAATCTTTATGCCTCTTCACCTAGTAGATAACTGTGATTTTGCTGTTCTCAACTCCATATTTCTTCTTCTATTCCAGTATTTGTAAAATGGAAAAAACCCAACATATTCCATGATATGTGATAAAAAAGTGTTGTGAAGACCAAGCAATTGATTCTTAACCACAAAAATAGTAATTTAGATAATGATTAGGAAAAGAAAGCCAAACAACTCCCCTCCCTCCAAATTAAAATAAATAAATAAATAAATAAATATATATATCCAAATCCAAACTCAAAAAGCACCAGAACTAAGAGTAAACCTGGGGTAAACTGGGAAAGCATCAACATTCACAGGAGTTCTAACATCCTCATCAAGTTTTAAATCAAGATGATTTCCAGTCAGGCTTGTATTAATTTTCAGTGCAGTATTAGACTTTGTATGGAGTGTCCCGGCTAAGCCTCTAAGATTTTGTGTTGTGCTTTATGAAAGACCAAGAAAACTCATAAAAACTACAAGTTTTCTTCCATTTTATATAGATTTGGGTTGACCTAATATTTAAAGAGTAAGTTTTATATAATTTTTACTTAATACTATAAATTCCTTCCTGTCATAAACGTTCATCTGTTTTATTTTTTCCAGAATTTTCTATTAACACATGGCTTAGTACTGATTTAAGGGATAGTACCACACTCAAGATTAGAGACTGCTATTCAGGATCAGACCAAAGATTTATAACTTAATTATTTTCTTTTTCCTATTCTTTCTTACCACAGGCAAGTAGGCATTAGTTCGCGTTTCATGGGATGTTCTAATATTGTCAATGGCCTTAAATATGAGCATGGATGAGCTACTACAATTTGCATTTTTTTATAGCCTTCTATATTGTGTTATGTATAATGTCACTTTTTATTTACCTGCATTCCATTTTGATCACAGCTATAAAATGAGGTTCTTAAATGTCAGTAATAATTCATACCACAAAGAATATGAAATGAAGGGCAAAGCCTACACAAAAGTAAATTAACTGAATTTAAATCCTATCAGGGATATGTAGAGGAAATGTTCTGCTGTGGGTATGATAGTGAGTTATCTCCCTTTTGCATTTACCCTTAAACTGCATACTCAGATGGGATAAACTCTGTTCCATAATATAGTAGGACATAAAAAGAGACTTTCTTCAATTGAGTTTGACTACATTTATAGGAAAGGCAAATGCTTCAGTATCATTGTCTACAGTGTCAGAGAGATAGTCCACCGCAGGTACACCAAGGCAGTGAACTCCGTAACATAATTAAACTGCAGCAGGCTGCACGTGGTCTCTATGAAAATTATTCTGGCATTCAGCAGTGCCTGCAGTTTATGAGGACTGGGAGTTGATTCAATGGCCTCCTTTAGAGGTCAGGCAGAAAGTCATGCTGCTTCCTGCTGTGCCACTGTTTGTAGCTACCAGTTTTGGGCATCATTGGCCAAAGTACCTGGCATCTGTCTCTATGCATGTTGTCCAGGTATCCTGGTGTCCAGCACTGCCCCCACTTCCAGCATCTTTCTTTCAGGGAGGATCTTCATATTTTTCTTTCCACCTCCCTTCTTTCAGAGAACAACTCTTTTTGAGATCCTTTATTTTCCATTCCGTCTTCTTTCTGGGCTCCCAAACCCCCAATTTTCCCAATCTAAACAGTCTATGTGCTAAAGCACAGTACATGATCAGCCTTGCAATCGTTGGTGCAGTCTCACGTCTCTATCAATTGGAGGATTCAAGGCATGCCACTTTTACTTAGTTTGGGTGTTATAAAAACTTACAACCTGCCTGTAACAGTTGCACATAGCAAGCAGTAGGCAGTTCAAAAATTCAATTTTGGACATTCTCACAACACCACTCCCCCCACAGCTATGTGCCTCCTGCTAGTATTTCGCAGCTTAAGCTCTTGGTTTTGTCATTTGCAAAACGGCATATGTGTTTCTGCCATTTGCTTCTGCTAGCAACAGTGTCTCTGCAGCAAAGTTACTGTGAGGGCAGAGGAAAGGCTTCAACCTCTGCAGATATGAGCACTTAACCTTATTCTTTTGTTCAGAACAATGCCCTTCTGGTGGAGCAGTAGTGGATTAGTCCCACTGGCTTCTTCTAAGTGGTGCCAAATCTGGGCCATTGTTTTTGTGTTGTAAATGAGTCTCTTTTCAGTGACTCTCCAAGCTGGAGATCTCCTTAAAACATGTAATAATTCAATATAAAACATACAATATTATAAAATTACAAAATAAAGCAGATCATCTACTTCAAAAGGAAAAAGTATGTATGAAAGAATACCTTTTTGCTTTTTTCAGATTGTCTCATACAGGGTTATACAATTCCTTAGCTCTGACTGACAAAGGCTCTGTGGAAGCCCATATTCATAAGCCACATATTCATAAGCCACATATCCATAACATATCCCATATCACAACAATACAACAGTAATTATTAGCTTTCTTGTATAATTTTATATTACAAAAATAATGTTAAACATTGAGATCTTACAAATATCGCAACGTTTGTAATCTATCAGCAAAAGAAGAAAAAAAAATCAATGATATACATTCAATTCTAAATAGTTGTACAAGACTACATAGAATATACTCCTGTTTGTGTGTTTATACATTAGTCAAAAATGTAGAAAATCAGTTGCCAGTAAAAATGTAGTTTTAATACTTCCAATTTTATGGCAGACTAATTTCCTAAGTATTGATGTTTTTTCCCAGGTCTATTTTATAGCTCATGCTGAGCTTCAGCCTCTTGCATGTTTACTGTTATTAACTTCATTCTGCTAGTTTAAAGCTAGCTCAGTCATTTCTACATAGGTTTCAGTCATCTTTTTTGGCTTCGGTAGGCATATTTTAGAAGCCTCCCATAAAATTGCAATCTCAGGCACCGTGGTTTTATTCTGCTAGTGTATCTTTCAAAAACTCATTAAAACTATACCTGTAAATTGAAAAGCATGTCAAACATTTGATCATAAGATTACTGTAATATTATGTGCTTCCCTTTCAGGGTCAAAGCACTGTGTTGACCTTACTGTGGAACATGAATAGAATTTTTACCAGTTGTTGATAATTTCCTTTTATAATTTTGACTAGTGAAGAACTAGGGATTCCTTTAAATTTTGTTTTTCACAGCTGAGCTAGGAGGCTTCTAATGTGATGCCTTATAGATCATTTGAGAAAAAACAAGTCAAGATATTAAAGACAACATTAATGCCCAATATTAGTTGAACAGAAAACTCAAGGCCTCTGCATATAAACTCACAGTGGACAGATAAGCATATATAATGAATACTTACATGAATTGTGCCTACTTTAACATAATCTGAAACCACTCTGCACTCAGAAATTATCTGATCTACTTTCTGTGCTGACTGATTTTCTGAAACTAGACAACTCCAGGTCATCTACTAAAAGATGACACATATGTAGTTGGCACACAGTGTCTATTTTATTTGTTACCTTACCTTCAACCAAGAAATTCACAGTACATTCAATAAGCTGCATTTCAAATGCTGTCCAGAAACAGCTTGCTTTAAGAAATCAGGAGTAACTTTGATAAAATATTTTTTGATTTATCTCTAAAAATGTTATGCTGAAGCAATTAATTACTTGACTATTTTTCTCCAAATACAAGGGCTCATTTTGCAATGATGTCATTCTGTTATCACGGATCAAAATTTACAGAGAGATGTTATTACATGCAACCCATTTTTAACACAAAGAAAGCTGTAAAGAGATTGTTCATATTTTTTTCATGATATCATAGTCTTCAAATTGTATTTTAATTTCTTTCAGGTTCGTCAGTAAGCAGTGGAAGAACTAGCAATTACAACACTTGCACAGTTGACCCTACCAGAATCAATAGATCAATAGTCATCAGTATGAATTTGTATGTTGGCCCTAAGTGTGTGAATACACAAATCTGTAATGCTAAATTGTAGGTTTATGGCACCTTTGTAAATTTATAATAGTTAAAGTTTTGCCATATCTACAATGCATTTTTCTAAAAAAAAAAAAATTGTTTTCTTAGTGTTCTCCAGTAAATCCCCAAACTTGTAACAAGTCTATTTGATTAAAACTTCCCAAGCTAACCGTTGCACTCCTTGAATTAATGCTTAGAATACAGAAACTAGGAAAGTCTCATCAGCATTTTGTACATATTTCATTTTTTCACAATTTGTTGTTCATCTTTAAGAAATATTTCTAAAAGTCTCTTTAGCTGAATAACTAGTTGCAAGGATCAGCTGCTTAATAACTCTGTGAAAGAAACCAAACAAATCATATTTACTTAAATCAGAAATATTCAGTGAAAGAAAGGAGAATCTATGTACAATATGGTGTTATTATTTTCCCCCGAGTATAATCACCATTAATAATATAATCATAGAATCATAGAATGGTTTGTGTTGGAAAGGACCTTAAAATTTTCTAGTTCTAACGCCCCTGCCAAGTGCAGGGACACTTTCCACTAGACCAGGTTGCTTAAAGACCCATCCCACCTGGCCTTGAGCACTTCCAGGAGGGGGCATCAACAACTTCTTTGGACAACCTGTTCCAGTGCCTCACCACCCTCACACTGAGGAATTTCCTTACATCTAACCTAAATCTATCCTCTTTCAGTTTGAAAGTGTTACCCTTGTCCTATCCCTACACTCCCTAATAAAGACCCCCTCCCCATCTTTCCTGTAGCCCCCTTTAAGTACTGAAAGGCTGCTATAAGATCTCCCTGGAGCCTTCTCTTCTCTAGGCTGAACAACCCCAACACTCTCAGCCTGTCCTCATAAGGGAAGTGCTCTAGCCCCTGATCATCTTCATGGTCTCATCTGGACCTGCTCGAGCAGGCCGTCATCCTTCCTCTTTTGGGGACCCCAGAGCTGGACACAGTACTCCTGGTGGGGTTTCACCTCTCTCAACATGCTGGCCACACTTCTCTTGGTGAAGCCCAGGATACAGTTGGCTTTCTGGGCTGTGAGTGCACATTGCTAGTTTGTAGTCAATTTTCCGTTCACTAAAGCCCCCAAGTCCCTCTCAACAGGGCTACTCTCAATCCAGTCCTTGGACAATCTGTATTTGTGCTTGGGATTGCCCTGACCCATGTGCAGGACTTGGCTTTGTTGAACCTCATGAGGTTCGCACTGGCTCACCTCTCAAGGTCCCTCTGGATGGCACATCCCTCCCCTCCAGCATGTCAACCGCACCACACAGCTTGGAGTCACCAGCAGATTTTCTAAGGGTGCACTAAGTCCCACTGTCTGTGTTGCCAACAGCTAGAATTACAGTGATTATTTGAAACATGGCCCAGGTTGGGAAATTAGTCCTTCAAGAGAATGTGTAAAGGAATTGTTTGAACTATAGCTCCCTGAGGTACAACTATTCGTACACATATGAATATGGACCAAAAATCTGAAATAACTTCATTTGAAATAATGTTTGCATGAATTGTTGATGAAAAAGGATTTTCTATACTGTTTTCCTCTATCAATGATTATAGAAAGGTTGACTCTAGATGTAAGATAAACATTTAATGAAATACATGTAAAACAAATCTATGCAATTTTGAAATCAATATGCCAGCTGTCTTATGCATGCAAAATGTCTCCTATTGAGTCTAAAAAAAGTCAAACATTTTGCATTCTATATATCCTTTTTCCCACTAATAAACTAATATTAAGACGGGCAGACTAAAGTTAAAGCTGGATTAGAATTTCTTTCATTTCAACAACTTTAACAGTTTGTAACTCAGCTGCAAATTTTTTTCATATGGCAAACCTTGACTTATAAAGACACAAAATATATACTATTTCCTTAAAATGCTTGAGATTATAATAAATCTATTATATATATATATATATTCCTGGGTCTTTAACTCTTGGGATTCTTAGTATTTTGTGGATCATATTTTTAACTTTAGACTATAAGCATCTCTTAGAAATGTACATGTTAATATGATGGAGAGTATCATTTACATGAGACTATGTGGCAAAGCAAAAAAGAAAAAGAAAGGTTCCTATCTAATTCCATGATAATAGAGGCAGGGACTTGAAGGAAAAGGACATGAAATTCAGTATAATGCATAAGAACAGAAGGATAAAATAAAAATTGATAGAACTGAAGATATCAGAAATATGTATCAGCAATAGCATGGCCAGCAAGGACAGGGAAGGGATCTGACCCCTGTACTCGGCACTGGTGAGGCCGCCCCTCGATTCCTGTGTTCAGTTTTGGGCCCCTCACTACAAAAAGGACATTGAATGACTCGAGCGTGTCCAGAGAAGGGCAACGGAGCTGGTGCAGGGTCTGGAGCACAGGTCGTATGGGGAGCGGCTGAGGGAACTGGGGGTGTTTAGTCTGGAGAAGAGGAGGCTGAGGGGAGACCTCATCGCCCTCTACAGCTCCCTGAAAGGAGGGTGCAGAGAGCTGGGGATGAGCCTCTTTAACCAAGTAACAAGCGATAGGAGAAGAGGTAATGGCCTCAAGTTGCACCAGGGAAGGTTTAGACTGGATATTAGGAAGCATTTCTTTACAGAACGGGTTGTTGGGCGTTGGAATGGGCTGCTCAGGAAGGTGGTGGAGTCCCCATCCCTGGAGGTGTTCAAGAGTTGGGCTGATATAGCGCTGAAGGATATGGTGTAGCTGGGAGCTGTCAGTGTTAGGTTAATGGTTGGACTGGATGATCTTCAAGGTCTTTTCCAGCCTAGATGATTCTGTGATATAAAATGAAGCAAAGAATTTATGAATGAGCTGGACAAATTTCTATGCATGCCACATACAAATGTTCTTTATTATTCCTGTAATTGAAATATTTTGTCTTTTTAAAGTTAAAAAATATTTAAAAGCCAGGTCCAAAATATTTATTAGCCAGATTAATGAACACTGTGTATGAAAACCCAGGCCCCAAGTCTGCTATTACCATGAAAATAAAATGTCTGTATTAGACTAAAAATTAGTGGAGTTGAAAATCAGATTTCTTTTCTTACTCTAAAAACCAACTAGTTCAATGTGTGAGAACTCAAAGTTTTATCTGGTCTGTGTGAAATCTTCTGGACTAAGATTCTGATGATTTGCAGGAATATGACTACCTGAGTGGGAAACCCCAAAGTTTGCTTTTTCTGAACATTAGCAGGACTAAATATGAAATGGTTTAATACCTGTGGAAAAAGAAATAGATAACACAAACAGATATAGAAATGATAGATAGATAGATAGATAGATAGATAGATAGATAGATAGATAGATAGATAGATAGATAGATAGATGCATGTATAACATTTAAAAAGCAATCCTCAGAAAAAAAAGGATTCTCAGATGATGTAGTCAGTGGCAGGGGAAATTGTGTTTAACTAAGACAAAATTTGAATAACTTCTTTGACTAGCAATACTAAATGAAAAAATGGAATGCTTTTAATGTTGGCAAGACAAAATATCTCAGTAATTTTGTTTTTATGTGACAATTATTTCCCTGCTGTTTTGCATACTTATAGATAAAGAAAATGTTCCTTTGATTTAATATGAGCAACTGCTGGATGGCAACCTAAATTGAATGAATAAACAGAATAAACAGTGTTTCTTCCCTATGCTTTTTATGTCTGCATTGGTTGTTATAGGTGATTTAAAAAAAAAAAAAAAAATCAATCATGGTGTTAAAGAAACTTTTTTTCTCTTTTAGTTTGCTTAAGCTGTTTATGGGATTTTATTTAATATGTCTATAGAGCTGAGTTTATTTAACTTAGAAATATGAAAGGGCTTGGATCTTTTTCAAACTCTCTTTTTAAACACATCTCTTTTTTTATATGACAGTTACTCAGCCAGCTGTGTCAGGATCAACAGTATTCTTACCATAAGATTCTTAATACAATATGTAGAAAAATTGAGCACTAAGTATTGTGACAAGCAACATGTCAAAAGCTTTTGTCAGGTTATTTGTAAGCCATTGCTTTACCTTTTTCATTTTTGGGCTTCTGATAAATGTGGTGTAGAGGTATTCATGAAAATTAACACCAGAGTTGGAAGCAAGCATGAATTTGCAAGGTAAAATCAGTTGATGAACTTGCAAAATGCATGAGTGGAGAGATTATGGCCAAATATTTCTTCAGAGACTGTTCATTTATTCTCTGTTCTTGTTTTTTCAGTGCCTGAGGAAGAGCTTAGCTGTGAATGTGTAGCATATGGCTATGAACTGGGGAGATAAGCTTTCACTGGAATATACTGTGCATACAAGGACAAGTACATTAACAAAAAGAAAAGTTTGGAAAAATGAGTTGAAAAAGTAGTATATTGGATGTTGAAGTTATAGCACTTGCTGTGCTGTAGAAAAATGAAGTGTGAGTCCACTGTGCATAAAAAATAACTTTAAAAGGAAATAGCTGGATTAACCATGTGAGATAGGTGAACAGAATTTAGTTGATACTGGGAAGGGACTTTCTGAAGTTTACAGAGCTATGTCTCCATGAAGGCCATGAGATTTGTTCATATTGCCTGAGGTCTGAAGATCAAACATTCACTGGATTTGTGTAAGAACTTTTTATAATTTTCAAACAATTACTTCTGTCCTGAGCTCAATGTCTTATGCTTAAGTAAGACATATACACTAGAAAAGTTCAAAGTTTGATTAGGAGGCAACAGCAAATGGAGCATCCAATAATATTTTATTTTAACGACATGTTTTATTTTTAATTTGAACTTGTTTGACTGCAAATTCCAGTTATTGGTTATCATTAGATGACCTTTGTAAGCAATCAGCACCTGATTTTAGAGCTAATTGGAGGGGGCCTCAACAGACTGGAAACTCCATGCCAAGCACATCTGCAAGCACCATAGAGTAATGTCAAACCTAGGTTAACTACATTCACCTCAGCTTATGAGTACTGAACATTATGATAAACGTTCAGCATAATTTTAACCTAACATTCTTATGTTAGTAAAACTAATAATCAGTTGAGAAATACATGGCTATATGTCCCCTTTCTTATACAGTGAGAATCTGGCAGCATGGTGAAGGCTTTTGAAATACAGTCTCCTGGTAAATATTCAAAGTATGCTAAGGTTTTTTGGAACAACTCATGTCCAAACTTCCCCAGCTGTACAGAAGGATGCAAAAACAGATAGATGACTTAGCAATAAGAAATGGATTATAAGCGACAATTTTCTATGTTGAATTTAGGGATTTATTCCAGAAGCAGAAGAAGCTGAGTTTGCAAAGAGATAGTAATTGACTGATCAGACTGAAACCACACCATTAGAGCTTGGGTAGGAGTAGCATCCATGTCCACTTAATGACAGTTGAATACTGAATTGATTGATTTTTTTATTAAGCCATTCATTGTCAGGCTTCACATTGTAGTCCATTACCATTTCTTTCAGTTTGGATGTCTTTTATGTCAATTTTTTGCAAAGCTTTCATTGTCAATGATGTGATATTTAAGATTCCATGTTTCTTGAAAGAATTTGAAAGCTGCTGATGAAAATGGTTACTGCTCTGGGCTTTTGTCCGTGGTTGCTTTCCTACAGTGGTACTCAGGGATTTTTTTTTTTTTTTTTCTGTTTTTGTTGCCATGAAGACTGAAACGCTACCTTG